GAAAGTTGGGGCAAATATCCCTTTCTGGCCAACCGCTCCCATGGGAGAAAAAGGTCAAATACTTAGGAGTCACTTTCGACTCGCGTATATCATTCACTACGCACATTAATAACGTTCGTAATAGAGCTGCATTCGTCTCCGGCTGGCTACACAATTAACTAACGCTAGAAGTAAAATGCCCTTAAGGCACAAATTATTATTATATAAGACCTGCGTACGACCTATTATACGCATGACCGGTGCGCAGTGGTATCAACGCAACGTCGACCTGCACAGCGATTGCAGACTCCTTTTCTTGTATCTTGTATTAACTGATGTTTGTGCTTTCAGTCCCGAGACTATGAAAGCTTCATCTGACTCAGAACCGGTGGGCTAGCCAGAACCCACGGGTTTGGGCCCTCCGCTGTGGGTAGGGCGGCGCATGTGCTCAGACATGCGTTTAACTACGGCATGTCATCTGAGGGCCATCGAGGTTGCGGTGTGGATCGAGACTCCGATGCCCGTCGACTGTTTTTTGCTAATAGGTGGCTGGGGGCGGTGAGAACCGCCCTGAAACGCGGGTGTACCTTGTGTACGCGTTGTGTTGGCCTCGCCGTGCTCGGAGGCGATGCCGAACTATTGTGTTTGTTGTTACACTAGCTGTGGGTGTAGTGTTATCCGGCGGAACCACCGACAGTGGGTCCGACGTATTTAAGTCCCCTTCCTCGACCGGGTCGATGAGGATGTTTCGCGAACGAAGCTTGTTGACGGTCGCGTTTGTGTCGGGTTGGTAATTTGCTGCGCTTACTGCGGCCCCACAGAGGTAACTGGGGGCTAGTTTTATAATGGTTGAAGGATACTCAAAGGTATATTCAATGTCACTTTCTTCGAAAAAAAATCGATAAAACCGAATCGATCATTAAAAAGTGTTGTCTTAATTGAAGAAAATAGGAAAAGTTAAACGACTTAGCTCTTTTATAAGCCTGTTGTTAGAGAGTCAGATTTAATGAACAACATTTCATATAATTGATTATTTTGCAAATTTGAAATCTCACAAAAAGGTAATTTTATACTAGTTTGTAATTCATAACTTGTTTCATTTTATTAACATAAGAGGTCATAACTTTTTTTAACTGTCAACGAGATACTGTTCTTAAAATTTTTAAACGATAAGTGCAATGAAATAAAATAACGTTTACTAAATATCCAATATTTTGTGTTAGCTATCTTCATATATTGGTGTACTAGCGACCCGCCCAGGCTTCGCACGGGTTTAATGTATTTCCTATATATAAACCTTTATTTATATTTTATATATAAACCTTCCGCTTGAATCACTCTATCTAGTCAAAAAACCGCATCAAGATCCGTTGCGTAGTTTTTAAGATATAAGCATACATAAGGACACAGACAGCGGGACGACTGTTTTATACTATGCAGTGAAGTATTTTAAGCCATACCTTAACCCGTCTTATAATTAGAACATGTTTGAGCTTAATTTAGCTTAGAAATATATCCAAAAAAACTATTTTTCGTGTAATCTTCACAATCGTGGGTTGTAAAAATAATCTACAAACTGAAACAACGAAACCCCACTTACTACTACTAGTAACGAGAACCATAGAGCACAAATAATAAAGGTGCAATTTTATTGACAGATGTAATTAACATGAATGCGAGTGTATCGAATTCAGAAAATATATCAAATTTAGAATTCAGTAGGCGCGGCAAAAATTGAACAGCCCTTTGGCGACAAATGCAGCGGAATGGACGCTCACGAAAGGGAGTGAACAGAAGACGAGTCGTACAAACTATGGATCCACGTTCGTTGGGTATAACATTACGTGACCACATCAGCAATAAGTATTTTATAGAAATTAAATGAACAATTGCGTACGCAGTTATTCATTTACAATTGCGTACATTTCAAATATATCCCTTTAACACAGCAGCCCATGAGGTTGGAGGAGTCGCCGAATTAGCTTCGAAGTTGACCAGCTTAACAATTTACTTGATACTCGTTACACTAAAGATATAGTTAAAAAATAAATAATTGTTTTTTACCAATTTTTTATTTGCGTTTAAATTTAAAGTTAATCGTTAACATAATTGTATGAAATCATAAGTATATTCTACGCCAGATCTACAAAAAACCAAGATACATCATTGCTACCATCTCTAAAAAACATATCTTTAAACATTTAGATAAATAATTGATCAGTTTTAGTTAATCGTCAAGCTTAATCACATTAGATACAGAATAATAGCCCTTAACCCAAAATAAATGGAACTCAGGTTATAATACATTGAGCTTCAGATCCCGAAGTCGGTTTGGCATATTTTACAATTTAAAAAAAAATAAGCAACTTTTAGGAATACAATCATTTTTAATTATTTATTATAATGGCATAAGGCAGAGAAATCCTCAATATAATAAAATATGGTGCTGGCACAACACTAACTAATCTAGGAATACAAAAATTGTACGTAAAAATGTAAAATGAAAAAGCAAAAAAGCTTTTTTTTTTAATTATAAAGGCAGTGAATACATAGAATAAAAAAAGCATCTTACATTTCTAACGTAATAGTTACATTATTTACGATTCAAAATGAATTCAGCAGCTGATTTGAAATATGTACATAGTGCAAACTCAATTCACGTTTTAAGTTGTTGACTTAAATTAGTTCCAGGTGGGAGAAACTTGTAGAATCCGATTCAAATGTAATTTAAATCTATGACAATAATTAATAATATAAAATAATAATAAATGGATGAAATAATTTGAAACTTATTAACTAATAGAAAATTGTAAGTAAAAAGTAAAATACTGAATAAAGACGGAAAAGCTCTTAGATTTACATGGACAGATTTCTTAAAAAATGCCTTGAAACATAACTCTTCAGATCAACGAATACGTTTTAGTTGACTTCTACTTACTTAGTTCTTTTATATTTGAAAATAATACTAAAATTCAAAAGAACAAAGTCACTGATATTAACAATAATATTTTCATAAAGAATAATTGTTAATACAAGTTAAAAATTTCGCCACATTTCCCACTTAATTCAATGGCACAACATAACGTGTTACCGTGCTTATATATTTGTTTTAGAATTTTCTTAAATTAAAATTAGACATTTAATACCATTGAGAAAAAACATGAGAATTTAAAGTTCCAAAATTTGAGATTCTTATTCATATTCGGATAGTTAATATGAAATTAACAATGCATGTCAATATGTAATGTAATCTTCGAAACAAAATTTGAAATTCGAAACGAAATTAAAATTGAAACACTGAACAATCTTATCACTATAATCATTAGCTTAAACGATTGTGCTTGGTCCAAGGCATAAAATAATGGCGATTTACGGAAATAGCGAAAAATAAAACCTACGTCGTTAAATTCCCCGAAGTTCCCCTAAATCTTCTAATCTATCTTTACATATTCTAACACAATATAGAATTAAATAAAGGCATTTTTTTCGTAAATTCAATATCGAGTATTAACGACTAAACATATTACAGACTACACTTATATCTAGTATTGTCAGCCATTATTCTCCTGTTGCCATAATAACGACCCATCGCGGCTCAAAAGGGATACAAATAGACGAAAATATTCCAATGTGACATCACCAAATACATACTAACTATTTCTCGAGTATAGTGAACATATCAACAAATAAAACACACAGGCCGTCCGCATATCAAAATGGATTTTTACATTATAATAGTTGGATGCAAAATCACCATAATATTGGGTGTTACAATAAAAGAACGGGCCGGCATTTATAAATAATTCATGAGGCCCGTTCAAGTTGCCTATCACATAAATAACAGATCGTAACAATCCGCAACTGAAACATACATTTTTACACTATTTAAATACGGACAAGAACACTCTGAAAAGGATAGTAAAACATTTTGTACGTTCGAAAATAACAAAGTTAGCATTGATGATTAAAATCATTCGTCTGGTAAAAAAGTGTAATGAATATTAAAATTTGCAGAATGTAAATAAAATTTAACAAGTTACATATAATACGAACAACAACATGTTATTTCTCTAACAGCTCCGGTTAAGACCTAATTGGAGGGCACATGAACACATGGTTTAGTATGCTTACAGAACATTTTATCACAATTTAGCTACCTCTCCTTGACATACAAACTGCTTAATTTACTGTATTAAAATTACATAGTTTTCATTTAACAGTCAAGAATTTAGTTCAATATTTGGTCTAATACTGATGTACATTATTAAAGCAGTTTGCAGTCAGTCCGCTTTTTATAAAATGTTACAATTCAATATAAAATTGTCGACATTGTTAATTCAATAAACAAGACACATTTACAACATGTTTAAATCTTTTACACTACCAACAAGCGTTTCAAAGTATTAGACAAGTGGAAAGGAACGTGTTTGTGATTACATTGTGAAAGACTAAAGAGGGCAAGATGAAACATTAGATAAGGCAGAGAAGACCATAACATTTAAACTTTATGTACTATATAATAGGCATAATTCATTTAACAATCAATATAATTCATAAAATATATGTATCCTACCAGTAACATTTCGAGGATATTGTACTTTTCCACATTGCACAATAATTTAAATGTAACCAAAGTATTTTTATTGTTAGTCAATACAAGCTTTTCTGTTAAAACTGGCGGTATTAAACATGTCTTTAAAAAGTTAACAATTTTCCGATCCAATCTGTTCTATGCTGCCCTAAATATATATGCATCTCACGTACGATTGTCCCGCGAATCGGCCGATCTTCACATCCATTATAGTTAAACGGTATTGGTAATTTCATTGTTAAACATTCCGCCATTTTTCCCCCGAACGGCCAGTCCGTTTCATTTCAATCATTCATTCATTGTCCAGGATTTGTTCATTCACTCTTCGGTCTAATGGACGTCATTCGTTCAGAAGGGTCCCGTACAGTAGCCGGTAGGGGTCGCTGGTGCGCCGCGACGGTCACACGGCAGCAGGAGGGGCCGAATGTCAGTGCCACTTCGACTTCTGCGCGAATATGTCCGCGCGCAGGTTCTGAGCGAAGCATATGCCGAGAATCTGTGGATTTGGTCCAGATTAATGAAAATCCTTACAATTTGACCAGGATCGTATAAAATGCACTGCGAACAGTAAAGTTTAACCGACCCTTACTTTGTATGAAAATGTAAGAGATTTGACCGTGTCAAAATTTGTAGAAAAAATGGACGAAAAGTTTTTCGGGAATCGAACCCACGTCTTCCGAATTTGTGCCCAAGTGTTTAATCGTAAGTGCAGAATTAGCACTACAAAAATTAAAACAGAGACTGTGTATAAAACATTACAATTGTCTTAAAGTGTCAGCCTGTACATAACCCACTGCTGGGCAAAGGCCTCCTCTGTACAGCGGGTATCAGAGCATAGTCCACCACGCGGCCCCACTGCGGATTGGCGGACTTCACATATCTTCGAACTATTTTTTTGTTATTATTTCGAAAATATGCAGGTCTCCTCACAATATTTTCCTTCACCGCCGAGCACGTGATAATTCGGCACTTAAAATTAACAATTTCATTGGTGCCAGCACCGGAGATCGAACTCAGGTTGCTTGAGTATATTGAATGAAAGGTGAGCGCCCGGACACTGAGCTGTCACGGCTCTGCAATTATCTTAATAAATTTAAAATACTGGATATTCCGAAATTAAATAAAAAAAATTATATGAAGGTAAAAGTTAAATAGAAGAGATTTTAAAATTTCTCAAAAAATGCTGTTAATTATGGAGAAATCAACTTTTATCATGTGAGAAATTAAATCTAAAGATGGCAAAGCAAAGCATAATTCACTTGATAACTCTATACACTGAACTGTACAATAGTTTTGTAGACAATCGTGCAACTACTACAACTTACTTGTGCAAAAGCAGTACAAACAGCGGAAGTGGCTACAATCAACAGGTTGCGATCAAACCACTCCTCGGCAGCCTCTAGGCAGCCTTTGTCATATATTATTTTAGCAATGTCAAAACTCTAAAACAAAACAGAAATAAACAATTTACAATCAATACATACTAAGCACTGAAATATTTACTAATTACAGGAAATAATGGAAATTAAAAAATGAGATAGAATTAATGTCTGCTGTATCTTTTTTTGGCTTCTGGTATCAGATATCAAATGCTAAAATCATATTAAAACCAAACATGGGCTCATAGTTTAAATTTTTGTGTTCTTATCACACCAAATTAATTCATCCATGGTAAACATTAATCATAGACTAAACATTAACATAAACATAGAAAAACATAATAATGAGTGACGCACAAGTTGCTGATAGAAAACAATTAGTTTATCACCTTTTTATGTCATAATAGTAGTAGCAAACTAAAGTGAACAGTGACATTAGGAAGTGAACAAAATAATGTTTAGAAAGAAGAACGAGATGTGTAGTGTTGAAATGAAACCTAATAAAACACGCCAACATAACTGAATTTACATTCTAACAATAATGCAATCCTAAAACACCAAAAGCTATTGGGAAAGACAAATTGCTAGTTTCACTACTTCGGCACCGTCGCAGCATGTTCCTTTAGTACAATTACAGTCAACTGACACATTGTAGAAAAATAAAATTTTAATCCCTTCCCCTCCATTTTCTCTTCACAGTTAGAAATTTTTATATTTTTATTTTGAGAAGATGAATTTGGCTTTCTAAATTTACTTTTCATAGAGAAATTAAAAGAAAACAATGTTTACAAGTAAAATCACATTAAGAGGACATGCTGCGGTGGCACCATCTGTGCTGTTAACGCACATGTGGCTTGCATTGGACCTTTAAGGCATGAGGGGCGACAATGGCCGCTGCGACGGAGAAAAAGTGCCTCTGGAGCCAATGCTCGGCCGCCGTCAGGCAACCGCGCTCGTAAATCACGTGTTCGCTCACTTGCTGCACTCGCATAAATCGTATTTGAGTATATTTATAACCTATACCTCCGCAATAATACACATTTGTTAAAAAGACTATTTATGTGGTATTACCATAACCATAAATCAACACACATATAGAGGATAACTTTTTTAAATTTTACTAAACAATTACTTTCTTTAAACATCAACATATACCGAGTTATTAAATTTTTCAGACAGTTGTAATTGTGAGGGATGTTACAAATTTTGTTTCAAAATTATTTTTTAGCTATGGATTTTTTAGCGTTCATATTTTTTCTGATTATTGGCAAGGAGCGTTAAAAATGTGTTAATTTATGGGCGCGGTCTTAACGCCTTGCTATATAATCAAACTGTTCATTATAGTATTGAATCAGTATATGTAGTAGTGTAGTATATATATATATTTTTCTTATGAAATGTAAATTAAGTTACCCTTTATTGGAGCAGCTATGTTCATCAAGATTTTGGCCAAACTCGTTTGTAAAATGGTTCTTACTGTATATACCAAATTACTAGTAGGTGGCCAAAAATATAGTTAGCAATACAAGGATTAATATATAGTAACTTTTAAATTACTTACATAAGTAGGCTTTCTGACGTCATAACCACACTGTTTATTCTTAATTATGATGTCCTGAGGTTTGCTGCGGCAGCAACTGAATGGAACCCCACATGCCTCACGGGAGCCAACAGCACCACTTGAACAGTTGAAATAAGCATTGCGATCCCAATCGCGAGGGCCTTCCACACCGCAACATTGCAGCTGCAAAATATTTTTCCATCGATGAGTGTTATCTCATAGGATAAATATGCTATGGTCATGTAGCAATTTCTGTTGTCCGGGATTGTCCTGGAAATACGGTGGTAGGGCCACGCAGCAACCTCAGCTGTTGCAAGAATGGGCAGGCCCGTCCGGGTAAGTACCACGACCTCATAGAAGTCCGGCGTAAAGTGATGATGTATTGCAGCTGGCCAAGGGCCCTGCATGAACGAGTTTCGGGGCCATGTCCCCATTACTCGGGCGTAGTCTCGACCAGCAAAGGCTGGTCGGTGGTGAGGATGGCCAACGGCCATCCCTTTCTCTGACCGCGGAAGCGGCACTGGCGGGTGTACAGCGTTACACGCGGTGTGTAACGCGTGGACGACATCGTCTTCTCAACGGCGGAAGTGCGGTCGGGTCCGGCTCCCCAGTGGCCTCCGACCGCAGTAGCTCTCGTGGGAGCGGGCGCCCGTCAGGAGGACGGGCGTGGAGGGGTGCAATATTATGGAGATGTGGGTGTGGTCCGTTGTCGGCCCTGTCGTACATGCGACGGGCCAGCCGGACCACAAACTCCTTGATGGACTCCATCCTTAAGTCGCAGGCGATTACGTCATTCTTGACGTAGCGCCCGGCCCCCACGATCACTCGAAGGGCGAGGTTCTGCTGCGCCTAGAGCCTGCGCCTCTGCGAGGCGGAAACCAGACCGTACCACGCCGGAGCGGCGTAGGTCAGGCGCGAACGGACGTACGTCTTGTAGACGCCGAGTTTGGTCTTGATGGGTAACCTGGATGCCAGGATAGGGTACAGCATGGCTCGAGCTGCCCTGGCTTGTCGGACGGCGTGTCCGACCTGGGGAGCCATGCACAGCGAGCGGTCTATCCGGCATCCAAGGTACCTTATGACGTTCTGGTTGGTAATCGCCCGACCTCGCAGCTCAAGCGTGGGTTGGTTTTTAATGCGGCGGATATATATGGCGGACGTCTTGTCAACGTTGACAGACATCCGCCACTTATCCAGCCACTGGGGCAGCAGGTCCAGTTGGCGCTGCATTTTCCTCGCCGCAATCGCCGCGACGTGAGAAGACGTGAAGAACGCACTGTCGTCCGCGTACAGGGCCAACAGTACGTCTTCATCCCAGTCGGAGGCGTTCTGCTCCAAGGTGGGAATGTCGTCCGTGTACACCGCATACAGGTGTGGCGACAGACAACTGCCTTGTGGTACACCGGCTTTGATACATCGTACCGCCGAGTCGGCTCCCTCGACGTGTACGACGAACTTCCGGTCCCGGAGAAAAGACGCTACTAACCGCACGAGCGCACGGTGGGTGGTGGTGTTTTCCAGCAGCTTATGTAGCAGGCCCTCGTGCCACACTCTGTCGAAGGCCTTCTCCATATCGACAAGGACCCCCAGACAGATGCGGCCCCGGTTGTACTGGGCCGCAAGATAGTGCAGCACTCGGGCCAGTTGCGCCGTGGTGGAATGGCCGCTGCGGAAACCGCAGCAGCAACCGTTCAAAAAGTTTAGCTACGTGCGACAGTAGCGTGATCGGTCGGTAGCTCCCCGGAAGTCGTCGGTCCTTGCCCGGTTTCGGCAGGACGATGATCTTGCCGGTTTTCCACTCAGAGGGGAAGTGCGCCTTGCGCAGTACACCATTGTACAGGCGGTACAGCGCCACTAACCCCCTTTTCGGCAGTTGCCTTATCGCCAACGTCGTGATCCCGTCGGTGCCGGGTGCCTTGCGGAGCGCGAGATGACTCGCGGCTCTACGCACTTCGGCTGGTGTGATGAATAATCCACCATCCAGCCGTGGAACCGGCTCCGATAGGAACGCCTGTATGTGCCGCTCCACTTCCTGGTGGAACGCAATGGCACCTGGGGCCGATGTGTTGGCCACAAATTGCCCTTCTAGGTGCTCTGCCAGTATGTCAGCCCTGTCTTGGGCTGCAACGTGCTTACGCCCGTCTCTGCCCACGAGTGGACAGATGGGTTGTGGCGTTCGGCTGAGCTGCCGGTTAAGGTGGTGAAGGGAGGTCTGCGACTCGGAGGCCTGCTCTATGCGGCGTTCCCATCCCTCACCCCTGTACGCCTTGATGGCTGCCGACAGCTCATCCTTGACCCGATTTAGGCGTGTCTTCAATCGTGGGCAGCGGGTGCGTGCCCACAGCCTCCTGAGCTCCCTCTTCTCGTGCAGCCGATCGAGGAGCCTACGCGGGAGTGTGTCTTTTCGGTGCACCTGTGGCACCGCCTTGGTCGCCGCGCGCAATTCTTCCTGTATTTTACAGGTGATTTTGCGCGCGGCCTGCTCCACGTCCTCCGCGGTTGAGATGGGTGCACCGAGACTGAAGTCGGACATTGCTCTCGAATAGGCCCCCCAATCGGTCCTGTACTTAGGGCCTCTGGGAGCCAGTGAGTCCGCAGCCAGGCTCAGCACGATGAGTACAGGGAGGTGCTGTGTGTCCGCATCGAACAGCACCTCTACCTGAACAGGGCATGGCATTTTGTGGCAGAGCACGATGTCCAGGACATCCGGAACTTGATTTGCGTCAACGGGTACGTGTGTGGGCTCGTCAGGGCCCAACACCTCGTAACCCGCCTCCTCTGCATCTTCGTATAGACTCCTGCCTGCGGGGGACACAATTCGCGATCCCCACGACGGATGGTTTGCGTTGAGGTCCCCCGCTATGATGGCAGGAGTGCTATCGGAAAAAATATTCCGGATGTCGCTGGCATTGAAGGGCGATCCGGGCGGGCGATACGCAGCGAACATACGTATCTCTTTCCCGCCCGCGTGGAGGCATACGCCTATGGAGCGCGTGCTTACAAAGCTACGCAGCTCCTCTTCGTCGTGTACTAGGTCCATTCTTACCAGGACGGCCGTGCCTCTATAGGCATAGCCGTGGTCGGGGGAGATCTCATCCCGTCTGTACACGACGAAGTTTGATAGGCGGAGCGGCTGACTCGGACGGAGTTTGGTCTCTCCCAGCAGCACAATCTGGATGTTGTGCTGCTGAACCAGCATCCTAAGTTCCGAGAGCCGCTGCGTTATGCCTCCAGGGTTCCAGTACATGGCCCTAATTTGTGGCGCCATTGTGTACCGCGGTCAGAGATTTAATGGCGTTCGTTAACGCCGTTAAGGTGTCATTTCCTGTCGCGATGGAGACCAAGATTTCCCCCAAGATTCCTGTCACCAGCCGGATCAGTTGATTTATTGCCTCCTCGATTGGCGTAAAGTGGAAATATAATACTTTTGCGTTTCGTCTGGTGAGTGAGGCGGCCGGAGCCCAATTTTTAAAAGGTTGTCAATGTATCTGCAACCCTTGGGTTTAGAGGATGTTTATGTGCGGCGGTATTCACTTAACATAAGGTGAACAGTGTGCTTGCTTGGCAACTTTTCACATAAAAAAATATCATGACCTTACAGAAAACCGGAGTGGAAGTATTATACGTCATTTTTTTATCTGATCAGCATAATAACCAAGTTTTACACTTCATTACATATAAAAACTTAGTTATTGCAACAGTTACACACAAAGAACTTATTTAATTATAAGAAAGTCAATTAATTTTTGCTACATTAATTTATTACAGATTAGTAAAAAACAAATATGAGTTCCCTAGCAGAACCTTAACAAAGAAATGAAATAAAAAAACTTACTCTAATGTTTTAAAAATTATTTTGAAACTATATCAATTAATCCATTTAAATAATCCAACCGTCTAAAGAATTATTATCACCATGGGATATGCATATCATGTGCAGACTACATCTAAAGTCTTTATAAGATAAATATCTAGATCTACTATGACACTTAAATATTTACATATGGAATACAGATACTTATTTCATAAAGAAGATACAGATAATTTATTGACAGATTTGGATTAATTACATGTATATTCTCATATGTTAGTTTATAATCAGTGGATCATAAAAAATAATATTCTATTAAAAATTGGAAAGATTTCTGGATATTTAATGAAGTTTTTGCCTTACCCATTCTCCTTGTATCCAGTCAATTAAATTCTGCTGATCAGGATCCTCTCTATAATGAGTTATGAATGACTGAAATCCACTTGTAGCTTGTTGTTTTATCTAAAATTAGAGCATAAAATTAATAAAGCAGCCTATTCTATATACATTTTTTATTAGTTATGGCCCTGAGAGGATATATATTCTTGATCTTATTTGAGTAAAGGATTTCAGTTTCAGTGTCATGTAAAATTATGTTAATATTAATTTTCATTTACTTACCCAATCTTTGAAGACAAAAAATAGTATTCCTGTTGTCATTTCCGCTAGTAATAATAATGCTAGAAACACCGCATACTGTAATGGAAAAAAATTTTGTTAATTTTAAAAAAATACAAATCAAATGTCATTTTGTCAACCCCCATGGAAACAGCATTTTTTAAACATAAGTTTTCAAGGCGAAGATTGTACATTGCAATCCCTCACTTTTTACCAAATTTTCTATTTTCTTGTATTTACGAAATTACACATTATAAATGAAACTAATTTTACGGATTTATCGCGTTTATTTTTTAATTTTAATTCCCGACGTTTCGAACCCTTTACAGCGTTCAGGTGTGATCACACCTTAAATCGGCCCAAACACTACATCAGGTTTGATAGACCACAGATCCTTGCAAAAGAACACCATTTCCTCCCAAGGATGATTCGCAAAGCTATTGAAATTATAAAACACCCTAATTTCAATAGAGAAGAGGGTAAATTAAATCTAGGCCAAAACAAACCACTACTCCAAGACAAAATACAATTAGCTCCCCCTGCATTGATCGGACACAAAATTAATAATTCAAAAACTAACAGTAGCCCGGGTTAACTATGAAAATCAGATGTCTAACACATCAGTCTGTCCCCTGACCATTAACGCTGTAAAGGGTTCGAAATGTCGGGAATTAAAATTAAAAATAAATGTGGTAAATCCGTAAAATTAGTTTCATTTATAAATGTTCTATTTCTGTAGACTTATATTTTTTTTTTTTTTACTATCATTAAAAGAAAATGGTAAGATATCAGGAAACTGATAAACTGACACATTATATACTTTGCAATCATTGTGTGCTAAACAGAGAATTCAATTTACTATTAATTCAACAGTTATTACTTACACAAGCTAAAAGACATGTATTCTCACGTAAGGCACCAACACATCCAGTGAAACCAATTATAAAGGTTATAGTGCCTGTAATTATAAAGTTTAATCAAAAATTAAACTAAGTATTTATAACTAAGAAGCTCTCTTTTAAAGGACCAAAGTTTCAAGTAAACTTACCAACACATATTAATATAAATGCAGGATCCAATGCAATATTTGTTAACCTTGAGAGGTTATTGAATGTGTCTTTTTCCATCCATGCCCATATACCAACAGCTAATACTATGAGGCCGACAAACTGAAATTATAACAAATAAAAGGTATTATGAAATTTATTTTAATAAAAGTGATCCTGCAATTATGAAGTTATGTATAAGAATAATATAATGAATATATGTAGAAGAAATATGTTTTACTTCACAAAAGTAATCATTAGTAGTTTTTTTGCAAATGTATTTTGCATTAGTAGTTAATAATACTTAGATGTATACAGCAATTTCATGTTTAAGTTTGTATTTAATGAGGCAGCCTTGAATTGCGAGCCTTTGTTCAACAAGGCTAATTATTTGCGACCCTAAATTAATAAAATGACTTATTACATTTACCATTACTTGTACAAAGCATACCATACATTAGTTTAAGTAACTATAAACTCACCCAAAATAACACATTAACTCCAAAAATCACATATTTTAAACAACAGCTGACTTCGCTAGTGTCACGTCGATATTTTCTTATGCCAGGCATTTTTGCACATACTAAGCATAAGGAAGTCGAAAATAAATGATTAAAAACCAATTTCGACGTTATCAACTTAACATTTGTTAATTTTAGTAATTGAATTCACAATTTGACCGAAATATTTGGGACATGGACATTAATAACAAGTAGGGCAAAACTATCCAATTCAACCACAGATTCCACATCCACAATTCCACAGACTATGTGAATATAAAGGTAAGGAAAAGAGAATGTAGTTAGGTATGTAGAGATCCGAGATCGTCGTCAGTTATTCAAAATCAATATCAAAAATATATTTATTCAAATAGACCCTTCGCGCTCTTATGAATCGTCAAATTTTACATCAAAGATTATGTATATAGGTTCGTAAGGTACCACCGGTTCGGAAAGCAGTTTCTATTGAGAAGAGACCGGCAAGAAACTCAACAGTTGCTCTTTTTAAAATATCAGGGTACAATATAATATACAGGTGTACTAGTCTTACTCTAGCCTACGTGAGTATCAACAGTATTAACTCCACACATTGGCGTCGTCGAGATATTCCGAAATGGTATAATATGATTTAATCATTAATTGATTTTTAATTTTACATTTAAATTGGTCAAGCGGCAGGCTTAATATCGACTGGGATTTTATTATACATGCGCACACTTTGCCCCATGAACGACTTATTTACTTTTTGTAGACGAAACAGTGGCGTAGTAAGTTTTTCCTTATTTCTAGTGTTTATTTTATCTCTGTCACTATTCTTTAGGTAATAAATAAGGTTATGACGTATGTACAAAATATTACAATAAATGTATTGAGAAGCAACAGTGAGTATATTAACCTCTTTGAAAAGATCTCTGAGTGAATTCCGGGCTCCGATATTGTAGATTGCTCGGACAGCTCTTTTTCTAAGAATAAATATAGAATTTATATCTGATGCACTACCCCACAACAAAATGCCGTACGACAAGATGCTGTGAAAATAACTAAAGTTAACAAGTCTGGCACTGTCGATGTCTGTTAGCTGCCTAACCCTTCTAATCGCAAAAACCGCGGAGCTCAGCCTATTCGCAAGAAATGATAAATGGGGACTCCAGTGGAACTTTGAATCTACTATAATTCCCAGAAATACAGCAGACTCAACTGGATTAATGGGTACGTTATATTAAACTCAAACTTTTCCTTCTTATACTGGGAAGGGTAAAAAGAATTCATCTGGTTTTTTTTTTTGGTATTTAATACCACATTATTAATAGTAAACCAGTAGAGGATATTATGTGAAAGGGCACTATTCACGTCGTCATAATTTAATACGTTTCGGTCAACTTTTAAAATTAGCGATGTATCGTCAACAAACAGTACAACATCACACAACCCCCAGTGGGTTATAAAATACATAAAAGGGGAGATCATTAATACATACTAAAAATAATAATGGGCCCAAGATTGATCCTTGTGGGACACCCATTTTCATCGGGGACCCAGCGGAATTAACATCATTTATATTACTTTTTGAATTCTATTACTAAGGTAAGAGGCAATGAGATTGAGGGCGATGCCACGAATGCCATAATATTCTACAATTCAACATTAATCGTAAACCTGATCACAACGAAGTAAATAACGGTGGCGTGATTACAAACTTTGCACCTTTTTTACAACCTTTTTTTTATTAAAGGCTTTATTACTCATTCTTGGCGCTGATATGGTTATGGGCCACACGCACACGCAGTGACAAACAAAAATATTTTAAACTAACGCCGTCTCTTAACGTGGCAGATAGACATTTTTACGATATTATTTAAACTGAAAGACAGGTTTCGCTACTCGTTAACGCCTTGTCTAACTTAGAACGCTAATTAAGTTAATTATAATATTTAATTAGAAATTAATTTAATAATATAAATTCATACATTAACCAATAACTGCTAGTTTTTTTTTACCCTCCTTTGGTCCTGATTGGCCTAATGGATGGTGACCCTGCCTTTTGCGTGTGGGTTTCATTCCCACATCTGGAAAAACATTGTGTGATGTACATAGTGTTTTTCCAGTGTCTGGATGTTTAAATATTTATAATATATGTTTATTTACAAAAGAAAAGTACGTTTAAGAGTTATCTAGTATATACATATTGTACAAGTATTGCTTAGTTTGGCATTAGAAAAAGTTGTGTAAAAATGTGTCCTGAATTTTTTTTTAATTTTGAAATTAATTAGGAGTCTTGACCGCTATAACTTGAAATTTACAAAACTTACTCGATACATTACATTGCTGTTCTTTGCTATTTCATTATTTAATACCGTTGATTTATTATGCGCAATTTATCTTATCCTTTAAACGAGCAATTCTTGTATATATATATATATATATACATAATCGGAATCTCGGAAACGGTTCCAGCGATTTTCATTAAATTTAGTATGTGCGTAGATTCGGGGACGAAAAATCGATCTAGCTAGGTTTCATTTTTAGAAAATGTCCCTTTATCCCTATTTTCAGGAAATGAAAAATATCATTCGAATATGACGGTAAATTTGGCCGCAAAAGAAAATGTCATAATAGCTCGGTCGGTAATCGGGCGGCCCCAAAACAGACGGCCGTGGTTCGCGTCACGATCATTTACACATTTATTTTTTTACTTTTTTTTCGATTCCAGATCATTTTCTTTTTTTTTTTTATTTCCAAAATACATGATTTACCAAAAAAAGCCGAGCAAAGCTCGGTCCTCCAGGTACTATAAGTAACTAATACGTATATGGTACACAGGAACTCACAGAAATCAACTAACGTATCACTTATAAATAAGGTAACCACCTGAATAAAATAAGTCAAACAGAGACTTATATAGCATACTTTTTACTAATGTTTTTCTGGAATTATTAACTTGAACTTCCATACGTTAGTGTGAGGATCAACACAAAATCTTCTCGTCACATTCTGACTCCTTACATTATATTGATACGATAAATAGGGATTCTATGTAGTTTATTTCCTGCAATCAACCTTCATCTCATCAATCTTCTTTATATTGTTTATAATTGCATAGGTATATGATTGATTAATAAAACGATAATAAGAACACAACACTTTTGCATAATATACCTTTAATTTTATTACAACTTAATTATTGCACGTGTCCCCATCGGCAGAGTTTCTATGTATCCAATCGATAAACTTACTAACTTTAGTATAGACCCCTGAAAATAATTAACTTTATTAATTACCGGAACTAACTTCAAACAAACAAGAAGTAATGACAGCAGAGTGTGATGTAGCTTTCGCAGAAATTACTCTAATACCCACTGTGCATCAATATCGCATGTATTATTTTATAGTATATATAATTAAATGACTCCGTGGCGCAGTTGCCAAGGTATTGGCTTCGGCGTCGGGGGTCGTGGGTTCGATTCCCACACGGGACAATTATTTGTGCGACCCACAGATAGTTGTTTCGCATCCGTGTAATTTATGTTTGCAGCTTCCAACAATCTTACAACACAGGATAATGTTATCCTAAAGTGAGGGCAATGTTTTTTTTAAATGAGAAAATTAGGAATATAATTATGTACTAGAGTTCTATAAAAAATGTTGTATGGCATTTATAGCAAATTAGCTTCAGTTGCGTTGTATACAGAGTTATGACAGTATTGACACATATGATAGTGTACCTCTATACCCCAGCGCTATCAGTTCATATACATAGTCTTGAAAAATTTATATATATATATATTTTTCATTGGACACCATATTTTATTATTCTAATTGTATCTGGAATTTACAATCTTTATTGATCTAATATTTACAAGATTAAATCTATCTAAAATTACATATTATCTAATAAACCTAATCCACGAGGCATGGTGCCAAGAACGCTAGCTGCATTTCCTGAATTTCTTGAATAGTTATGCTTAACCTTTGAGTGAGAAAAGAACCAGCTCTCTTGTCACCAGCCGCGGCGTTAAGCCTAGGACACAAAATATTAATGTGCGGGGACCCCACGGACCTAAAGTTTCAACAGCAAATGGCACAAATACATAATCTAAACATAAAGACTCATATTTGCGCCATTTACTTACTTCAGCTGCCTCCGATGCCGCCCCGGTGCTGACCGAAGTACCCCTTAGATGAGAGGCAGCCAAAGTGTCTTCACAAGTGACGTCCCAAACAAGGGCTTTGCCTCTCTCCCAAGGGATCAATGTTAAACCGTCGGGTCTCTTACCATCGTCGCGAAAAATGACATAGGGCTCTAACATAGACGGAACATTTATGGAAACAAGAGCCCTATGGATGATGTCGTTCAGGGAACCACCGTGGCGGGAAAAACGGCCAGCACTTTTTTGACAAGAAAGCCCGTGGAGACCAAATTTGTCTACACCATTTGCCCTTGTGGTGTCAGGGCATTAGTGTGGTTGACAAATCGTAAAAAAAATCCTACAGCAATGCGTAAGCTTTCATCGTCAAGTAATGTGCCCAAGTTACTTGATGGTAAAGCGTGTAGCCAATAACTCGATTCTTTAGATGAGACGCCTAGGAAACGGGCACGCTCTAAATTACTTTCTAGAGATTGAAACGTATCTCTCTGTACTCTCCGCACCAAAGGAACATCGCACTGTTTTTGTAGGTTGACTTCCAGTGGCATATTTTCGTTGGGGCAGATAGAAATTTATATTGGATACACAACTCTGATCCGTAAATAGTTAGCATATTGTAAAAGGCAAACTTTACCTGGATACCTGGAATCAGCGCACCCTATTCCCCAAGAAACGATACCTGCCATGTAACAATATATGTTAATAACAACCGTACAAAATAAAGTAACTTTATTTCTGTTTGTATCACAATTATAATATTTCAATGTATATATGATTTTTATTCATATGAAAAGTTGTCATGCGAGCCGGTGGTTCTGATATTATGATTAACGCCGCCCAAGGCCATCTTCGACACCGGAGGGCTTGCAGTTGCGTTGACAGACGAATTTAAAATAAAGTGCGTCCCGGTTACCACTCATTATATTT